AGGGTACTTTTTCTTTGAAAAAAGAAATTACATGGGGGATAGAACATGAGATCCCTTATATTCTTTGGCATTGCCTCCAATCTGGTTCTTATGCTTCTACTTAAGTTACTAGCCTGTTGCTAATGCTACAGGGTAGAATTTCTCACCACAACAGATGAACATTGCCCCAGAGGTTTTGGAGATGGTTATAGCATATCTCTGTCCTCTGTTTCCTCGAATGATTGTTGTTTGGTGCCATAGTTCAGGGAAATGGGTTTTAATGCTGTATCCCAGGAACAGTACAAAATAAAATTATCTTGTGGCTGTCTGTGCATTGCTTCTTGCTCTAAATCTAATTTTTTTTTAAATTCTAGCTTCTTCATGATTTCCCCTACTGACCAGCAAGTACATTGCTGGACGTGGCTGAAGAAGCACATGCCCAGTGACAGTAATCTGTTGCTGGAGGATGTAACCTGGAAGTATACTGGTAAGAGATCTCTGGAAGCAGAGTTGCTTATACCGTAGAAAATCACATGGCTCTTGACCACCACTACACTAATCCTTTTAATCTGAGTTGCTTACTGTGTGATGCCTGGTCTCTCTCCTGAGTGGTACATACAACCAAGTACTATGTATGTTTGAACAGTTCCTTCCAATGTATATGTGCATAGACAGTCACTTCCATTTCCATGTGCACTCCTCAAGGAAAATCTAGTTGAGTCTGCTTGAGCTTTTCCCATTTCTGAATTCTCTGTAAGCCATGTAACTATTGCATAATATGTATAATTGTATAATATAGATAAAATCATAGAGACTAGAAAAAAGATAATCATGAGGCTGGTGAACCTTCTCTGTGTCATTGGACTTAGTAGTAGAAAACCTCTTCTTTTTTCTATCTAGCTCTCAATCTCATTGGCCCTCGGGCTGTGGATGTCCTGTCCGAATTGTCCTATGTCCCAATGACTCCAGAACACTTCCCCTCTCTCTTTTGCAAGGTGGGTTACTTGGTGTTTACAGGTCAGGTCAGGCTATAAACATATATTTACTGACATAACTGAACTAGGTAGATAGCAATACTTGCTTTACTCTTCTTTACTTTCCTCCCTTTAAATCCCCATAATTAATTACAGCAATACTTATTTGAAATGTACTTTTCAGTACCTAAAGTTCTATTTGGTATTTCTGTGTGTTTTGTGGCAATAGATTGTGAAATTGGCAGTCACTAGTGGCAGCTGGTATTGTTTTCTATACAGTCACTGTCTTTCTCCTTTTTTATGAAAAAGTAACTGGTAAGCCCCTTCAAAATTAAATTTGACCTTTTTGCTCAAACTTCATGGCTTTTAGTACACTTGAATAATTTCTGAATGCCTCGGCTATGCCAAATAATGTATCATTATTCTTGGATTTGTAAGTCTAAAACACCTTCCATACACTCACACTTTCAGGTATTCCTGAGAGAGAGGTTAAAATACAGTCCATTTAATTAGGGTTTCAGTATTTAGTAATCCCAGAAACTTTTAGCAACTATTTTTGGTCAAGCAGTAAACCTGAATCATAAACAAGTGCACAGCCTAATGGAAAATAAAGTTCATAGTATGGGAGAAAACAAAAAGTGATTAGTGAAAACACGAGATGTTTCTCAACCAAAATATAGAAGTGTCCCTGTAATTTTTGAGACCCTTGCAGAAATGCCTAGAAAGGAAGGCAAAGACTGCTTCTCAGCAGTCTGTATATTATTTCATCATTAGAAAAGTTCCAGCAGTTGAACCATAGATTTATCTTATTTTTTTAAATAAACTTTTGGTTTTCAGCCTTCTGAATGACCAGTTTCTCTGCCCACATCATAATGCTTAAAGAATAAATGATATGGGGTTCTACTGAGAGTCCATTAGCCAGTTCAGGAGTTTATTTTCCTTTCCTTACAGCAATGTGTTCATGTCAGTCCTTGATCCTGTGCAAGAAACTAATCATAAGCCATACATGTGTAGTGTGCAGATGAGTAAATTGGAATGCCTCCTGAAATATTTTGGTGTGTATCTGTGCTCTTGGTTTTATTTTGTGTGGATGCCACTTCTTGCTTTCTCCTCCCTGCCTCCAACATACATGCACACATAATGTTAACTGAGAGAATCCAGCATCACTTCTGCCACTTCTAAACAGCACTCGACTTGGCCCCTTATAATCACAGAATGGAATTATTCTTCTTGCCCCAGAATCCATTATGTCCTATCAGGAAGATCCTAAAATTATGGGGATGTCCACAATTTACCTTGTACTCATCATTGACATCATGTGATGATAGGTTGCTGTTTCATATTGCTAGTGAATTGCTAGTGTGTGAAAATCTAGAATTTCCCTGCGTGCATTTTCCTTTTCTGTGGCATCTGAGGAATCGGGGCTGTCCTTATGAGAGCTGATCCAAAACTTGTTTGAATTTAAATTCTGCTTTTGATGTGGGGAAGGAGAAAAGTTTTAGCCAATGGGCTATTGTTTATAGTCTTACATGTGATTGTTTGGTACCATGCTATGGTTTGAACGTACTTTTCCGGCCTTTCAATTTCTGCAGGAGATGAGTGTGGGATATGCTAATGGTATCCGTGTGATGAGCATGACGCACACAGGGGAACCTGGATTCATGTTATACATCCCTATAGAGGTGAGAGTAGTTCTAAGCTTAACCATTCAGAGCAATTCATGAGGCTTTATTTTGAAAAGCTTCCACCTTAGCCAGCTGACAGTGAAGAGGCTGGTTTCCTACTTGTGGTGGCTACAGTTAATTTTCTAGGGTAGTACTCTAGAAGTATGTAGGTGGCTTTGATGGGAGCTTTTAACTCTAAAAGTGAAATTAGTGCTGCCTGAGTTTGTTTGTTAGAGATGATACTGAATTATGTGGGAAAAGAAAATTGCTGAATAATACTTTTTTTTTTTGGTCTTGGGGTACAAATCCTACTGTTCTGATGTTTACAATGCATGTATAAGATCAGGTATTTCTGTGGAAGCATTCACCCTGTCGAGTCTTGGCCTTGTGAAATTGTGGGACTGGAGAAGGTGGTGCTGGGAAACTAAACCAGATATAGTCAGAGATTATGGAAGCTGAAACATTATTTAAAGCCAAGACGAGAATAAAGCACTACAAGTGGAAAGAACTGGTAAATTAAGAGCAAACAAAAGGAAATGTTATTTCCTAGAGTCTGTAGTTAGTCTGTAGTAGTCACTGATGTGGAAGATTGTCCCAGATTCTGGGTGGATTTTAAAGAGAGTAGCATAATTATACACTTACTTGTAGTAGTGTTACCTCAGGCAAGGTAATGAAATTACTTGCTTCATTGCAGAATCCATTTGTTACAGGTGATGTGAAGTTTGCTTGCTTTGTCTAGCACTGCATCTTTGGCCAGATACGTTGTATGGGTTTTGCACTTCCTTTAAAGCGGAGCCCTAAAAGACAGCATATGGAAGTTTCCTTGGTAGTGCAGTAGAGTGACACACTTTTCTCTAGTGTTATGTCTAATGGTAATTCTGAATTTGCTGACTCTTTCCTGTAGTATGCGCTGCATGTGTACAATGAGGTGATGAGCGTGGGACAGAAGTATGGCATCCGGAATGCTGGCTATTATGCACTCCGCAGCTTACGCATCGAAAAGTTCTTTGCATTCTGGGGCCAGGATCTGGATGCCTTCACAACTCCCATGGAATGTGGGCGAGAATTCCGCGTCAAACTGGAGAAGGTACAGTATGAAACTGGAACCAATTCCCTCAGCAGCATTTCCATTTGAGAATAGGAAGGGAATGTAGTATTGCAGCAGAGAACACAAAGCAATACTGGAATGAGAGGAAAGAACTTTTTAATGGGATAAATTCCCAATATAGATATTTTCTTAGAGAAGTAGAGAAGGTGTAGTGTGTGAAAATATTTCTAGCTTTATTAATGACTGATTCTGTTGGGCCTTGAAAGTGCTAGAAATTAGTACAAACACTATACATCCCAGCTAGTGTGGCGCTGTCAGCATATTTGGTACATAACATGTTCTTTGCTGCTCCCACACAGATAAAGGCTCAATGGAAATGAAAGGCACTCAGCACTTTGCAGGATTCAGTCCAATTTTTTATTGTTAGTGTTCCAATTGTATATTGGCACTCCCCCCCCCCCCACCCCCAAAAAAAAATAATCACAGAAAAATTAGTTGACTGACTGCACAGGGTCACCAGTTCCACCACCCTTTTAGCATGCTGTGCAGAGTCATCTACTCCATGATAGAGGTGACAGGCTTACTTAAGTGAAGGAAGGACCACAATAGCTGGATGTCTTAGATCACTACAGTTCCCAAGTCACCTTCCTAGTCTGCTCCACTGGAATGAGAGGCCGGACCTTTGTTCTGCCTCAGGCCGGCTAGGAACTCAGAACCCTAAGACCCCTGTGTCAACTTGAGGCTTCCCGACCCCTGGTCTTCACAGCAAGTTGCTCACAAGTCTTGGGCTCCCAGTTCTAGAGCAGTCCATGTCGCAGGTCACCACTTGAGCCAGAGAAGAACTCCCAAGATGAGCTGGCAGGAACACATGCAGAGTACTGCTCTTACCATGCTTGTGTTTTATTGTAACTTGGTCAAGGCCAATAGTGAAACATTCAGAATTCAACAAAAACTGCATTTTCCAGCAAACAAAATAATATTGTTAGAAAATTCCCATACAATGGATCCCCTTTTTCCTATGTCCCTCAAAACATTAGGAAAATTTGGATTTTGAAGCCTGAAAAACAGGGTTATTGGATCCATAGTTTATGGCTCTACATATCTTACCTTTGAATCCCAAACTACAATTCAGATCTGGCCTTTTAATAAGAACTGGTCTTTGTTTGTCCACCCTGTGGACAGTTTCCATTTAACTGAAATATTTTTCTGTATGTATTGATGTGGGCTTTTAGGCTGAAGGCAGTATGGTGATCCTTGGGCAAAATTATGGGTGGTACAGAGGATGCCTTTTTTATTGTAGTATATTTAGTGCATTTAATTCTTGGGTCCTTTATTTGGGTCTTTTCCTTTGTTGTTTGATTCTCCTGTGGGATTTTGTAAGGGCAGTATCAATTCAAGAACCACCAGCTTTATATCTGGAGGAGGGAAGCAACATCTGAGATCAGTTCAACTGCACAGGGAAGCCCTTGGAATGCCAGAGCCTGTGTATTGCAGGATCTATCTGTAAATGATTATTACTGTGTGGCAGAAGGTGGATTTAGATTGGAGTGTTAGCTTGGGTTCTGAAAGGGTTGATTTATTTTAAAATCTTTGTTATGAACCGGTTGTGCTGCTCTAATTGTGGGCTTCACTTGCTTCATAGATGATTAAAACAAATATGTATGGAGTTTTTTGTTGTTGTTAAGGTTCCACAGGTGTTTGCGGGGATGTTCCTTTTACAACTAAGTATGTGTGGGAGTGAAAGCCATCTTGGAAAGTAGCCATTTGAGAAATGTGATCCCTTCTTGTCTGGTCAGATAGATATAAACTAGCGTACATTTCCTCATATACTAACTCAAATCATATGGCTGGGAAGTAAACTTGTTGAAAAGTGGAGAGATTTTTACCCTTGCTAGCAGTGGAGAATAAATCAAGCCCCACCCAGTTTCTGCTAGTGTGACTAGAACAGAGGATTGTGGGTAGAGATCTGGTTTCTATTCCTGATTCTACCTCTGGGTTTTATGACACTAGAGCAAGTAGCTGGACCTCTGCATTACAATCTCTGAACTGGAAATGCTAGTAACCTATCCCCCTTTTTGAGAAATGCCTTATTCCTCTTATTCCTATGTAGGTGGCTCCAAAGTGTCAAGTAGTATTTCTTTAACTCCAGATAGAGGAGAAGTTCTTCTCTCTTTCAGCAAACTGCTTGTGATACTGTACCACAAGAGAAAGACCTTCTGAAAACACGCAAAACAAACAAGGGGATCTTCAGGAACTAGGGGAAAGCAGGAGACTGAAAGAGAAGATAACATGTTAAGGCCACCATACTCACTCTAAAAAACAAAAGAAAAAATAACCCGTCTCATGTGTTACCCATAGAATGGAGCCACATGATAATAGATATTTCATTTCTTTATATTCTTAATTGTGTGCACAATCTGTCTTCCTATTTATGAGAACATTACATCCTTGTGCCAAAACAGCACTTACAAAATGAAGGCGTAGCAGGGGACATACTCAAAAAGCCCTGACTTGTACTTTATAAAATATGGGAGAGGGCTGAAGCCAGTAATATTGCTAAAATTGGAATTATTATAGTGTGTGCACTATGTTAATGCCTGTTTTTTGTCACTTTTAATGCAATTTAGCAGTAGGAAACAGGGAAAAAGTAGTACCCCATAAAGAGCCAACTGTCTATGAAACACTGTTTGAAACCTGTGCCTTTTTAATGTTTTGTTTTTGCAAAAGGTAAGTACCTGCTTTGATAGGGAAGGAATTGCTTGCTACAGAAGCCTAGAACGACTTTGTGATAAAAAGTATCTGTCCCTTAAAATTCAGCAGCTGATTCAGGTTCAAGTCACATGTCCTTCATTAGCAACCCTTTCATTTTCTTTCCAGGGTACTGACTTCATTGGTCGGGATGCACTGATGCAGCAGAAGCAAAATGGTGTGTATAAGCGCTTCACCATGTTCATCCTTGAGGATCATGACACGGACTTGGACCTCTGGCCTTGGTGGGGGGAACCCATTTACCGCAATGGTTGCTATGTAGGTAAGACTACCAGCAGTGCCTACAGTTACACTCTTGAACGTCATGTCTGCCTGGGCTTTGTTCAGAACTTTGATAAGAAGACTGGGGAAGGGCTAGTGGTAACACCTGACTTTATCAATCGTGGCGAATATGAGATTGATATTGCTGGACAACGCTTCCAGGCTAAAGCCAAGCTCTATCCCTTCAGCTCCCTCTTCACACAGCGACGTCGGAAGGATGAGATGGAACTGAGCAGCTACCAGGGAAAGTAACAACATCTGGTTATGTGCCTCTGAAGCTTGTCACCATTCTCCTCCGATTTCTGCTCCTTATACCTTTTTACCCATATGGCTCTTCCTCCTTTTGTCTTTCAGGTTTTAAACCTTTTGGAAATGTTTAAATTTTGTATATTTTATAGCTTAAATTTTCACTTTCCCACCCCCGCAATCTTTAATCCTTCCTATGTCATGCTCCTGCATAACCCTGTGGCAGAAGCGTGGCATTGTGTTTCATCCAAGAGGCCATATGGAGTACGTCAGAAAGCTCACAGGGGAGTAAGCAACTTGAAAGGCCATATTCCAATGGCCATACTCTTTGGATACTCTTCAAATCCAGAATGTCAGATGTGTGCTGGCCTGTAATTCTGGCTTCTTTTGTCCCCTTTGGCTGAACTCTTATGTGACTAGACTCACAGATTACAGTGGAGTTGCCAAACCTTTCATAATGTGCACACAGGGCCTGTCTTGGGAGTGCTTATTAACTGCTTGGTTCCACTGAGATCCTGCTGACAATTCTCTTGTTTCAGAGAGGTCAGTTTATTGTTTCAAAGGGGTCAGCAATAGAGTGATCAGCTACCTCACTGGCATAAAACGCAACCACAGCATAATGTGAGCAGCAGTGAAGTGACCAGTTTTGCTGGGTTCCAGCTGGTCCTGCCCCTCACTTGTCATCCATCCCGGCAGGGCTGTGGGGCCCCGGGGTCGGATCATCCTCTTCCCCACAAGGGAGTGACTTTAACGGTTTTGGTCATCAGGCTACTGAAATAACAAAATTGGTTTTGATAAGTTTCCCCCCACCCCCTTGGTTTGGGACACTGAAAAGGATTGACTTTTTCTGGGCAAGTGAAGATCAGTATGTTTGCTCTACCAAGAGGCAGGCCTATTTTGTTTCGTTTATTTGGTTTTAAAAAAAAAGTCTACCTCCAACAAAGATAGACACCAGATTCTTTGCTATTCACAATAGTGTTTTTTCGTTCTCTGGTTTTGCTCTCTGACTGCTGCAGCATACTTCACTGATTTATGCAATAAGCACGAGTTTTTGAGATCTCCAGTGGTTTGTGAAATTAAAGCAAAGAAAAGGAAGGAGTCTTGCATTTTCAGCTAGTGGGGAGGGGGTCAGCCAGCAGCAGCACGTTGCCAGTCACTTTAAAATTAGATGGGGAGGACATAAGATTGGTCCTTGGAATTTATGCTTGGAGCACTGCACAGGCAACACTGTACTTCTGACTGGAGGAAGGGTCTATCTCCAACTTCCTCTGACCCAGGAAGAATTGTTTCCTGTCTCTCATCAAATCTATACATTTCTGTCTTTCTTCTCATAATAATAATTCAGCTGAAAGTTGTGGGCTCATATGCCAGGCCCAGAGGTTTTAAAAGAAAATGTAATCTTCAAATTGATCGGCACCAGCAAAACACAGCACAGACACTCACATGGACATAACAGATTCTGGAAGTGGTATCCAAGCACTCAGAACCTAACAGGCTTGCATTGATTATGAAGAACTAAGATAGAATGGCGAGAAAAGGGATGAAGGATGTTAAACTGTATTGGGATTCATGATGAAAAGAAGAGGCAGTCTAGCCTGGAGGCGGGACTTCAGTTTACTTCCTGTGAATATCTGTTTCCTTTCCCCCAAGGAAGCCCTCTGGGCTGAACCTGTCAAATTTTTAAATAGTATTTGGGTTTCCTTCAGAATAATATTATTTTATTTATAACACATTTCCTTCTTTCAGGATTCCAGAGTGTTTTTAAGCTTACTTACAGGAATAAATTGTCTAAAGTTTATACTTCAGACACCTCATGAGTATAATATAAATGGCTGTTTGACAGGTCACAGCAAATAGTAAGGTACAAAACAGGTAGAATACTGCATCTGATTAATACAATTTACGTAATTTGTCCAGTAATATTGGTTGTGAAGTTTGAACATACTGGGATTTGCTCTGTATTTCATCTAAAAGTTTCACAAGGTTTCTATAGCAAATGATCAGAATCTTTGTTTCACAGCCCCTCCAGTGGCATAATAAATGCATACAGAGTGGTGTTCAGAACTGCTATAGAGGACTGTCACCTTATGAATCACCAGTGTTATGTTCTGTAGAATGCTTAACTCTCTTTGGAGGTCTCCCACTGAAATAACGCTCAGTCCTGACTTGTTTCAGTTCGATAACCATACTGTTGACTGATGAGCCAGGATGAAGTTTTACCACTTGGCACCCTGCAATACTCAGAGAAAAGTCTTAAAAACTTTCCTCTTATTTAGCACAAAGACACTTTGTGTGTGGGAATGCATCAGCCATTCTGTGCAAGAGGGACAGTGTAAAATATTGTACACAATAAGGGAGAACTGAATTAGCAGAGTATAACTACCCAAGTCGGTGTTTGGTCAGAACACCGTTCAGCTGCTTATCTGGAGTGACAAGGCAACACTTTAACGTAACCATAACGAAAGAGTAGTGGACGATTGAAAACAAACTCCTAACCAAGGCTAACCTCACCTAAATCAGTGGAAAATTACTCTTGAAAAAGTCAGAATAAAACTTCACTGGTGTAAATTACATCTGCTTTAGGTGTTTCCTGTCTGCATCCATACTGAAGTAGCTGTTTGCTTAAGTAGTGAGTGTTATCACACCTTACTATGTACATCTACCCTTGGATAGTTGCATATCCATCCATTCCGGATCCTGATGTACATCAGTATAAAAAACAGATGTAAATTATGCCAGGGTATGTGTTCATCATTCTGTGCCCATGACAAAACCTGGTTCAGACTACAGCTAAAACCAGTAGCTTAGTAGTACTGTGCCCTCATTGCTTTGCCATTCTTTTTAAGCAGTATTTTAATTTTAATCCTGTTTTTCCCCTTTCATAAGTACAGTTCTCTGGCCCTATAGAATCTCTGTGGGAAAACATTTTAAATAAGATATGGCTTCCATAGCCCCAGACAGGACAGTATCTATAAACCTGTCTATTAAAAAAAGTGACTTGTGACCTAACCCTCTTCAAGAGTTCATTTCCACAATACTCCAAATCCGCTTAATCTGACAGTACCAGCATAAAGGAATAAAATACTTTGTAATGGTATCCCACAAATATAATTCTGTCTGGGTTGCTCTGTTCTTGCTGAGATTGCTGAGGTTAAGTGTTAAATTCTTACTATTTTGATCCTAGAAGTGAGATATGGTTTAGCCTGTAATACTAGCTCTGGCTTCCTCTCTCATTACCAATTCTCTCCTTTCTTTACCTCCCCAACTCTTTAGATACTGTTCAAATCTAGTTTGGTTTTTTTCTTGATAGATATTTGTCTTTTGTGCTGCTGCTGATTAATTTGACTTTGGCAACTTGAATCCCAGCCAGAGAGACAGTGGATTTTAAACTACACAACCAGGCACTGAGGTCAAAGACTGAAGTTGTGGCTTTTCCATAATGTTTTAATATCCTTAAAGGGAAATGGCTGTTTTGTTTGTTTGTTTGTTTGTTTGATTCATATGTAATCATTCTAATCTCTGTATTAATAACAAAAGATAAATTACTAAAGGATTTTAAAAGTTGTTTTTGGGACTTGTGCATGATCCATTCCTAAAACTCTTAATGGAAAAATAATCTGAAGTGTGGAAACTGCAGCAGCTTTTGCATTTCCAACTATTGCCTTTGGGCAGACTTAGTATTTGTAAATGATTTGTTGACCCCCACTCCAGCCAGCTCTTTTCCAGATCCCTTTATTGGTCTCTTTCTGCATTGAGCTTAAACTCTTTAGTTTCAAGAGTCTAGATCGCTCTTGCCAATACCTATAACTCAGCCTTTATCTTTTTCTAATCCCTCTTCCTCATTCCCATGATTTTTGCTTAATCCTTCTGGACTCCACGTCTATTTTCATGCTACCCATAGTCCATCTGGGCCCTGCAATCTGTTACCTATCTTGGCTTGCCTTCCATTCGTCTATCTGTTTATGCTTTGCATTAATTACTGTGTTCTCAGGGAATCGTATCACCCTTGTCCATTTCTCCCTCCTCAACCTGTTGTCAGTTCTAGTAAACAAATGGCAAGTTCTCTGGTCAAGGAGTACTGCTTCTGGGGTTTTTTGTAAAGCTACCTGAAGAATTACTTTGCAGGACACATGCTGAATTGTAATGATGAACGCAGACAGAATTAGGACAGCGTTATCCAGGAGACGAGAACAAGCATAATCTCCTGATACCATTTTTTTTTTTTTTTTCCTACCAACTCGTATTTAAAAAAAAAAAAGAAGAGGGAAAATCAAGCAAAATTGGGTGTCATGGTGGAAATATATTTATGTAATAAAGTACTTGAAGCACCGATTATATGTTATTGACACATTCTAGTGAGACGCGCCTAATGATAAAAGCACAATGTCAGTATCTTTAAACCTGTCCTTTTGTCATGCATTTGCTAAATTTAATGGCATGGTTTTATTTTAATAAAAGCAAACACGCTACAAAAGCAAACCAGTTTCTATATGAGACACAGGAAAGCTTGCAAGTACAAAAGTTTTTTCTTATTTTTAAAACTAAAATTAGGATCATGGTGAGTACAACAAAATATTCATAAGTTTGAGATTTCTGCCATCTCAGGTTATTTTTCTAATGTTTGTTATAGCACCTATGGAGGCAACTAATTTGGCTAAGCTTTAAAAGGTGTTCTGGTTTAAATAAATTCTCAAGACATTGTAGGGGGATGTATTTAGAAAATCTTGCTTAAACAGTTGAATATTCAAAGCTTCACTCTTGGTGTGTTGAAGGTCCTTAGTAGGTATAATCCTTGCTGATTTTTTGATGGAAGAAATGCATTAAATTATTCTAAATGCCTCAATGATTTAGGTTAGGTGCTGTAGTGATAAACGTAATGAATGCTGTTTACTTAAAATCCATGTGCAGTACTTGGGGAACAGGCACAAATGTCAGCAGGGACTATTAAGCAAACACTTCAGTGCAGTGAAAATTACCAGAGTGCTATTTGTTAATCTCCCTTTGCTACAGATGTGGAATTGTGCAAAAGCGCTCACAGAATAAAATCAGTAGAGAAACATCCAGCTAGCTACACAGTCCGTGTATTTTAAGCATTTACCTCTGCCTGTGTGCACTCATTTCTTTCCTTTTTTCCCTATAAGTGGAATTATGTGGTTAAGGGAGGTGTAACCCTTGTTTCTGGTATTGTAATTAAAGGAAAGCATCTGCTGCATAGAGCCCACCAGTGCCTCATTACTTTCCAGAGTTTAGAAAAGAAAAGAAAATCCTTCCCCTGAACGCTGGGGGTCAGGAAATTCAGAAGTTAAGGTTTTTTTCAGGAGCGTAAACTTGACTGTGGAGCACTTCTGTCCACTTACACTTTCTGGCAGCTTATGAATATAACTTACAGATGTCTCGACTCATTTGTATTTATGGGGCACATCTACATTACATTTCTTCTGACGCTAGGCCTGCCACCAACAAAATAAGCCTCACCCACTCACTCCTACTTGAGAGTGCTTAAGGTAAGCAGTTCAACTATAGAGGTGGCTCAGAGTCGCCTGAATGTCTTCCTTTCCCCACTGCACCCCACCCGCCTCAGCTCAGTGCCATTCGCAGACTCTTCCAGGACTGAGAGCAAGTGTGATGCCTCAACCCCTGTCTGCTTTTGGGATGCTCCAGAGCTGTTCACACAATTTAATTGCTGCTCTTGGGTGCTTCTGAGTGAGAATAAATAAACCAGAGCTTATATTATCAGCAGGAGAGCCTGGTTTGGAAGAAGTGTACATATGTGCTTAATGTTCCACTTTATGGCATTACTGATGAGTATACTTATACTGGAGTTGTAATATGAAGTATTTAGTGTTTCTGTACTGCAGGCATAATAGCAACCATCTAAGATGGTCCAGTTTTAGGTACAAATACCATAGTCTCTTTACTTATAAGAAGGTACAGTCATCAAGGGGATAATGACTGTGTTGGTAAGAGACACTGAAGAAAGGTATGTATGGTTATTATCAGTCAGCTTCCTGAACAATTGAATTTGACACTACAGCCAGCAAATAATTTATTTACCTATGTTTTTGTGTGATTGTGGCAGACTTGAGTAGCAGTGATTTAGGCCATCATGATGAGGCATGACCTTGCTTGTTGTGTAGAAATACTGAAGCCAGAGACTGTGCCATCTCAGTGACATGGGTAAGATCCTTTTTACACTGCAGTGTGTTAAACCATGTTGGGGCCAGCAGGTTTTCCTGCCAGGGCCTAAGTCTAACTCTTCTGAGTTCATACCTTTTGCTGTGTGTTGGATTCTGCTGTTAGGATTATATGTTCACGTGAGCTTATCTCTACCAGGTCTCATACTGATTTTTGATTGCTGCCATGGGTATAGACATAGCTCAATACAAACCTTTTCATAGGGTTACATGCATCTGGGTTTTCCCCAGCATGTCCTCCTTTTTGGGTCATCTGATATCTGTCGGGGTGAGTTTTTGAAATCTGAACAAATGTCCAGGATTTCGCTCTGCTCCGCTGGCAGGAGTGGGGAGCTGCGCAGCTGGGCTAGTGGCACTGGGGGCCAGTGCCCATGGTCGTGGGGGCAGGGTGCTTGTGAGACTGCTTGGGGGAGAGGGGGCATAGCCAGGCCACCTTGCACAGTGCACTAACCCAGCCTGGGGTAGTGGGTGCTACAGGCATTCCCTCCAGCCTATGCCCAGGCTGGACTCACTGTGCTGCCACCCGCACGAGCCGCAGCTGCTGCACTCTGGCCCAGTTGGGACTGGGGCAGCTGGGGGCCCCCTCCAGCAGACCATGAGGGCTGTGGGTCAGGAGTGAGGGGCCTGGGTGGGGAGTGAGGGGCCCTAGGGGGTGGAGGGCTGTGCTCACCGGGTGCTGCTGGGCAGAGGGGCGATCCCTATTGCCCCACGCTGCATGGAGGGCTCTGCACGCCCCCTCATGGGTGCCCTGCCTGGGTCAGCTCCAGCCCTTTAAGAAAAAAACCCCAAGAAAAGCCCTGGGACTCACTGTTCCTGGTGCGGCTTTGGGGCTTCGAGGACTCGTGTAGAGCCCCCTGCGCAGCAGCGGGGATCACCCCCCAGCAGCAGGAGCAGTATGTCCAGGGTTTTTTTTAGGGGTTTTTCTGAAAGGGCAGCTGGCCTGGGCAGGGCTCCCGTGGTGGGGCTGGGAGACCAAGGGGGAGGCTCGTGCAGAGCTCCCCATGCAGCGTGGGGCAGTGGGAGGCTGCGGGGGATCATCCCCTGACAGGCAGCACCCACTGAGTCAGGGCTTTTTTTTTTTAACAAGTGCCAGCAGCTGGGGCAGCCATTGCCAGACTAGGAGAGCCAAATCTCTGAATTAGATTCGGCTGAATCCGAAGCAAATACTAGCCGCTTTGCGCAGGCCTACTTGGTAAGAATCTTCTTGTTTTTAAGGTCTGACTGGATCATCATTTATGTAACATCTTTGTTAGGAGGTCATTTCTTTTTTGCCCCAGCTCCCTGATAACATTAACAGCTTCTAGGTTTGGCAGACCCACATCACTACTACTATAGCCCATGTTTTAAGGGGAACTAAAGGGTGCAGCGTAAGCACTTCCTCT